TAGAGACTGCTTTGCTTTAATTGTGGTAATGCTCATAGAGCGAGCTCTGGCTGGTTTTGTGACAAAACTGCATCGAAGCCAGCACTTGCCCCAAAATAGACGTGACCTGTAACTGCGTTCTCGCTGGCCTGAAGTGCCTGTGAAGTTCTGCTTTGTCAGGTGTGTATAGGCACTACTTTGGACGCTTTAAAAACAAAGCTCTGTTTAGGAATTAGGACTAATTTGTACTTAATTAAAGCATTTCTGTGTGTAACCTAAAATGGTGAAAATTTTACTTGAGCTTTTTATAATTTTAGTCTACCCTAGCAGAAAAGAGACAACTTACATGATTATAAAGGGTGTTAAGTAGTCCATGCTGTCTGCATCTCAGTGTTACTCCTTTAACAACTGAACCGTTTCACTTTGAGACGTTCATGATTTCTCATGTAGCCTTCAAAATCTAAAACTCTGTGCTTTCCAAGGCAGGCTCTTCTCCGCAGGGTGTCCTGCGTTTCCATGACAAATAAAGGCAGAAGAGATCCAACTCAGAAGTGGTCTGCTCTTTGGGGGAGCCCTGCCTTGGAGTGATGCTTGTAGTGGACTTGGTTTCTTTCCAGCAGAACTCTTTCAGGATTTTGAGTCGCATTAATTAATAGATCTTGTTCATTCTTTTCAAGACCACTGAACTAAGAAATCTGTGGGGTGGTGGTTTTATTTTTTTTTTCTTTGCAAACAGTTGTGGAATCTGCTCAAAGATCACTGCCTTGCTTTTGCAATCTACACTAGAAAATATTGTCAGAGGCAACAGGGCATTTAGCTGCCTGTTGTGTGTGGGGGAAGGCTGTGCAAAGTTAGGCAGATAAAGCAGCTGGCATGTGTTCTGAGTGTGGAGAACAGGAATGAGGAAGCTAAATGTAAACTGTTCACTGAAACCAAAGCAGAATCATAGTTATAAAACTGGTTGTAAGGTTCTTTGTTTTGGTTTCTTTATTTACTTTTTTTCGTTTTTGTAGACTTTTCCCATGCTTTGAGGCATGGTCATTCTTACCTCATCTGTAGGATGGCCGGGCTCTGCTGGGGTGCTCTGACTAAAGAGACAACGCAGAAGTGCCTTAGATGACAGAGATGATGATGCTGGTGCTAGCTGCGTGTTCAGGTCCTGATGGCTCTTTCCGAACTTGTTGATGCACAAGGCCTTGGTGGTGGCAGCTTTTGCAGGTTTTTTTGATATCAGCAAAATTTTATATTCATCTCTAGTTATTCAGCTTAATTCATCCATAGAGAATAAGGGGCATACAGCAGAAAGTCTAAGGTAATCCAGCATCGGATGGGTTTATCCTCTTCCAAGTTTCCAGTCCCAAGGAGTTCCATGGCAGATCCAAAGTGGGTAATGTCCCTTTGGAAGCTGCGTACCTGCAGGTCTACAACCTTGGTGTAATTTCCCAAGCTGACAAGGTTGTTGCCTTGTAGCCTGTATTTGAGGGCGGTGTGCTCCTGAGGTGCCTTTTTGCCTGGGCAAAGCAGGACCCTACACTTGCCCTTGTTAAACCTCATCAGGTTCCTCCCTGCCCAGCTCTCCAGCCTGTCCAGGTCTCGCTGAATGGCAGCACAGCCTTCTGGTGTGTCAGCCACTCCTCCCAGTTTTGTGTCATCAGCAAACTTGCTGACAGTGTACTCTGTTCCCTCATCCAGGTCATTGATAAATATATTCAATAGTACTGGTCCCAGTACTGACCCCTGAGGGACTCCACTAGATACAGGCCTCCAACTAGACTCTGTCCCATTGACCACAACTGTCTGACTTCTTTCCTTCAAACAATTCACAATCCAAACAATTGCTAATCACTCCCTGTAGCATAAGGAAAATAACAAAGTATGAAATGCTTTCAAAATTTGAAATACTTTACAAAATTCTTTCATCCGGTTGCCTTATCTTTCCAGTTTAGCTGTTTGCTTTACTGAATTTCACTTCTTGAGTGTGGGGTTTTTTTAGCCTGATGGGGTTGATAAGTGTTAGTTAACGCTTGCTCTGCTGGCAGCTTGCTGGAGCCAACGTCATGGTTCTTGGTGTCTGC